TTGCAGGTGAGAAAGTGACAACATATTTTGTATGTGTGTGTGTATATATATATATATATATATATATATATATATATATATATATATATATACACAGTGGGGCAAAAAAGTATTTAGTCAGCCACCAGTTGTGCAAGTTCTCCCACTTAAAAAGATGAGAGAGGCCTGTGATTGGCATCATAGGTAGACCTCAACTATGAGAGACAAAATGAGGAAAAAAATCCAGACAATCACATTGGCTGATTTGGAAAGAATTTATTTGAAAATTATGGTGGAAAATAAGTATTTGGTCACCTACAAACAAGCAAGATTTCTGGCTCTCACAGACCTGTACCTTCTTCTTTAAGAGGCTCCTCTGTCCTGCACTCATTACCTGTATCAATGGCACCTGTTTGAACTTGTTAGCAGTGTAAAAGACACCTGTCCACAACCTCAAACAGTCACACTCCAAACTCCACTATGGTGAGACCAAAGAGCTGTCGAAGGACACCAGAAACAAAATTGTAGACCTGCACCAGGCTGGGAAGACTGAATCTGCAATAGGCAAGCAGATTGGTGTGAACAAATCAACTGTGGGAGCAATAATTAGAAAATGGAAAACATACAAGACCACTGATAACCTCCCTCGATCTGGGGCTCCACGCAAGATCACACCCCGTGGGGTCAAAATGATCACAAGAACGGTGAGCAAAAATCTCAGGACCACACGGGGGGACCTAGTGAATGACCTGCAGAGAGCTGGGACCAACGTAACAAAGGCTACCATCAGTAACACTCTACGCCGCCAGGGACTCAGATCCTGCAGTGCCAGACGTGTCCCCCTGCTTAAGCCAGTACATGTTTGGGCCCGTCTGAAGTTTGCTAGAGAGCATTTGGATGATCCAGAAGAGGATTGGGAGAATGTCATATGGTCAGATGAAACCAAAATAGAACTGTTTGGTAGAAACACAACTCGTCGTGTTTGGAGGAGAGAGAATGCTGTGTTGCATCCAAAGAACACCATACCCACTGTGAAGCATGGGGGTGGCAACATCATGCTTTGGGGCTGTTTCTCCGCAAAGGGACTGTCAGGGCAGGAGCTGAGGAATGGACAGGTAGGCCTAGTGGCAGGGTAACGCACTGGCTGACGACAACCACCACCAACAGACCGGAGTCTATGTCCTAGGCTGCCCTTCACCAGGGCCCCTGATGGTGGGGATGGACTTGACGCAGCCAGGAACCAGGTCGCGGCCCCCGAGTCACCCCGGCTGCGGTAATGGCCGCCGCCAATGGCGTGTAGCTGGTAAGAATGACAATAGCGTAGTCAGGCAGGCCGGGTCAACAACAACGGGACAAAACGGTACAGAACAGTAGACAGAATCACAGGTCACGGGCCGGGTTCAGCTACGGAAGGTCAGATCGAAGGAAAACACAGAGAATGGTCTTAGTCACAAGCCGAGTCAGATACCAGAAGAGTCACGAAAGTATACACAGAGCTGTAGCAAGACACAAGACACAAGTGCAAAGAGCATGTGCAGATCACAGGCTTATATGTACTCAGCCACACCCCTCTGGGGGATGGACCTCAGAGACCTGAAGGCATAAAAGATTCCCACCATGCTCAGCAGAAATCCAAGATGGATGCCAGCACATGGCGTAACATAATGATTCAGAAAAAATGAGGAAGGGTTGTAACAGCGCAAACACTGCAAAGTCCTGGGAAATGGTAGTATGGGTGATGGTGGTATTAGTGGCTACTGTATGAAGAGCGTAGGATTCCGTGTGGCACTGAGGGCAAGGCTTCCAAATAAGCTGTAGCAACTTCTGTAGATGAGAAAAAGGAGAGAAGCGCCTCTAAGTGCAATAAGTCTTTTAATTCAAGTCTAAATGTAGAAACACTCACATGTGTGAAGTAATCATAAGCATAAAAAACCGTGGTTAACAATAGTTAACGGTGGGGTGGTAACCCGGGTGAAGAGCCGTCATCTCTCTGCGATGTGGGGAGGTCAGCTCTCGGCTGGAACAGCGTGGTGGCTGGAGGGGGAACAGCGGTGAGGCCAGCCTTCATGCACGTCCTCCCTCAAAGCCGGATGGAACGCACGCTGGAACGTAGCGGCGGCGTGGCCGTGATGACGTCAGATCCCAGGGTGCACTGCGACGCGTTTCGGAGCATGCACTGGCCGTGGAAGGCGGAAGTGCACTCCTTTTTCAAGCAGGGGGAAGTGGATGAACAGGGGTGAATATATAGGGAACGTGAGTCTAATTGATCAATTAACCAATTAACCAGTGATTGACCATTGCTGTCAGGTGAATAGTGTAAAGTCATGGATGTTAACTGGGGGGTAAAAGGAAACCAAATGGAAAAAAAGAGAGGATGTAATAAATAAGAAAACTGAAGACGAAAGAAAAAAAAAAAAAAAGAAAAAAAAAAAAAAATTATGTTCTGGGAGATTAGTGGGGTAAAATGTTCACCTTGATGTGCCAGTGCTGCAAGGTGAACATTTTACCCCACTAATCTCCCAGAACATATTTTTTTTTTTTTTTTTTTTCTTTCGTCTTCCGTTTTCTTATTTATTACATCCTCTCTTTTTTCCATTTGGTTTCCTTTTACCCCCCAGTTAACATCCATGACTTTACACTATTCACCTGACAGCAATGGTCAATCACTGGTTAATTGGTTAATTGATCAATTAGACTCGCGTTCCCTATATATTCACCCCTGTTCATCCACTTCCCCCTGCTTGAAAAAGGAGTGCACTTCCGCCTTCCCACGGCCAGTGCATGCTCCGAAACGCGTCGCAGTGCACCCTGGGATCTGACGTCATCACGGCCACGCCGCCGTTACGTTCCAGCGCGCGTTCCATCCGGCTTTGAGGGAGGACGTGCATGAAGGCTGGCCTCACCGCTGTCCCCCTCCAGCCACCACGCTGTTCCAGCCGAGAGCTGACCTCCCCACATCGCAGAGAGATGACGGCTCTTCACCCGGGTTACCACCCCACCGTTAACTATTGTTAACCACGGTTTTTATGCTTATGATTACTTCACACATGTGAGTGTTTCTACATTTAGACTTGAATTAAAAGACTTATTGCACTTAGAGGCTGTCAGGGCTCCCAGGTATGACCAGAGGTGTGTGACTGATGCAGGGAAACGCAGACTTCAGATATGTGATAAACAATACAATTTATTAACACTAACAATACAAACATAAACGCAGTGCAATACTAAAACATAACACAGTGCAAACAAACCAAACCAACCACCCACAGATAACAGTATATACAAGCAAGCGTCGTCAGGCAGGCCGGGTCAATATCAATTGGGCAGGTAGGTACAGGGGGAGCAAGCAGAGAATGGTCGGGGTCACAGGCCAGGTTCAGCAGGTAGCAAGCAGCGTAGTACAGAGGGTCAAGCAGAGGGATGGTCAGGGTCACAAGCCAGGGATCAGGACAGGTAGCAGAGAATCAGACAGGAACAGAGAGCAGGAACAGGATACAGGGCCCAAGAGAAACACAACACCAAGGCAGAGTCTGTGGGTCTGGCCATCCCTTAAATACCCCAGCATCATCAGTTTCCAGGTGTTAGCTGGCTGAAAGGTTGAGTCTCTGATTGCTGGGAGCACCCGCTGGCCAGCCCTGGTACTGCAGATCAAAAGGCAGGTGAGTCCCCACCATTGCTGGCCAGTCCATTCCTAACAGTACCCCCCCCCCCAAGGAGCGGCCTCAGGACGCTCCAAACAGTCCTAGCTGGGCAAAATGTTTCCACCGCCCGGGTCTGGTAACTGGCGGGATATCAAAGACTGGCACACCGGGCAGGACTCCGGGCAGCGGCACACCGGGCTGGACTCCGGGCAGAGGCACACCGGGCTGGACTCCGGGCAGAGGCACATCGAGCAGAGGCACACACTCGGGCAGAGGCACATCGGGCAGAGGCACATCGGGCAGAGGCACATCGGGCAGAGGCACATCGGGCAGAGGCACATCGGGCAGGACTCCGGGCAGAGGCACATCGAGCAGAGGCACACCGGGCAGAGGCACACCGGGCAGAGGCACACCAGGCAGAGGCACATCAGGCAGAGGCACATCGGGCAGGACTCCGGGCAGAGGCACATCGGGCAGGACTCCGGGCAGAGGCACATCGGGGGCAGCACACTCCGGGCAGAGGCACATCGGGCAGGACTCCGGGCAGGCACAGGCACAGCGGGCAGGACCCAGGCGGAGCAGCAGGCACCGGGCCCCCGGGCGGAGCAGCAGGCACCGGGCCCCGGAGCAGCAGGCACCGGCCCCCGGGCGGAGCAGCAGGCACCGGGCCCCCCCGGGCGAGCAGCAGGCACCGGGCCCCCGGGCGGAGCAGCAGGCACCGGCCCCCCGGGCGGGGCGACATGCATCGGGCCCCCGGGCGGGAGCAGCAGGCACCGGGCCCCCGGGCGGGAGCACATGCATCGGGCCCCCGGGCGGAGCAGCAGGCACCGGGCCCCCCGGGCGGAGCAGCAGGCGGTCGGGGCCCCGGGGGCGGGGCGGGGGCGGGCCGCCGGGCCCCCAGGCGGGGCGGCGGGCGCCGGGCCCCCAGGCGGGGCGGCGGGCGCCGGGCCCCCAGGCGGGGCGGCGGGCATCGGGCCCCCAGGCGGGGCGGCGACAGGCATCATCGGGCCCCCAGGCGGGGCGACAGGCATCGGGCCCCCAGGCGGGGCGACAGGCATCGGCCCCCAGGCGGGCGACAGGCATCGTGCCCCCAGGCGGGGCGACAGGCATCGTGCCCCCAGGCGGGGCGACAGGCATCGGGCCCCCAGGCGGGGCGACAGGCATCGTGCCCCCAGGCGGGGCGACAGGCATCGGGCCCCCAGGCGGGGCGACAGGCATCGGGGCCCCCAGGCGGGGCGACAGGCATCGGGCCCCCAGGCGGGGCGACAGGCATCGGGTCCCCAGGCGGCGGGCGACAGGCATCGGGGACAGGCATCGTGCCCCCCAGGGGGGCGACAGGCATCGGGGCGACAGGCATCGTGCCCCCAGGCGGGGCGACAGGCATCGTGCCCCCAGGCGGGGCGACAGGGATCGTGCCCCCAGGCGGGGCGACAGGCATCGTGCCCCCAGGCGGGGCGACAGGCATCGTGCCCCCAGGCGGGGCGGCGGGCGCCGGACCCCCAGGCGGAGCGACAGGTCTCGGGCCCTCAGAGCGGAGCGGCGGGCGCCGGACCCCCAGATGGAGCGACAGGTCTCTCGGGCCCTCAGGCGGAGCGGCGGGCGGGCGCGGGACCCCCAGGCGGAGCGACAGGTCTCGGGCCCTCAGGCGGAGCGGCGGGCGCCGGACCCCCCCAGGAGCGACAGGTCTCGGGCCCTCAGGCGGAGCGGCGGGCGCCGGACCCCCAGAATGGAGCGACAGGTCTCGGGGCCCTCAGGCGGAGCGGCGGGCGCCGGTCCCCCAGGTGGAGCGACAGGTCTCGGGCCCTCAGGCGGAGCGGCGGGCGCCGGACCCCCAGGCGGAGCGACAGGTCTCGGGCCCTCAGGCGGAGCGGGCGGGCGCCGGACCCCCAGGAGGAGCGACAGGTCTCGGGCCCTCAAGCGGAGCGGCGGGCGCCGGACCCCCAGGCGGAGCGACAGGTCTCGGACCCTCAGGCAGAGCGGCGGGCGCCGGACCCCCAGATGGAGCGACAGGTCTCGGCCCTCAGGCGGAGCGGCGGGCGCCGGACCCCCAGGTGGAGCGACAGGTCTCGGGCCCTCAGGCGGAGCGGCGGGCGCCGGACCCCCAGGCGGAGCGACAGGTCTCGGGCCCTCAGGGCGGAGCGGCGGGCGCCGACCCCCAGGCGGAACGACAGGTCTCAGGCCCCCAGGCGGGGCGGCGGGCACCGAGTCACCAGGCACAACCGTGGGCTCAGAGTCAACTGGGATGACCGCTGGCACTGGGTCAGACATTGGATCGTCTGGCTGGACAGCGGGCATTGGGTCACCAGGCATCAGGTCATTTGGCTCGACAGCGGGCACCGCGTCATCTGGCAAGGCAGTGGGCTCCGAGTCAACTGGTATGACCGCGGGCACTGGGTCACCAGGCATCAGGTCATTTGGGCTTGACAGCGGGCACCGCGTCATCTGGCAAGGCAGTGGGCTCCGAGTCAACAGGCACGACAGTGAGCACCGGGTCATCAGGTACCGGATTGTCTGGCTCGACAGCGGGGCATCGGGTCACCAGGTATCAGGTCATTTGGCTCGACAGCGGGCACCGGATCAGGTACCGGATCATCTGGATCAACAGCGGGCATCGAGTCAACTGGCCAAATAGGATCGTCAGGCTGGATCAGTTCATCATGCTGGGTAGAGGCATCAGGCCAAGTAGAGGCTTCAGGCCGAGTAGAGGCTTCAGGCCGAGTAGAGGCTTCAGGCCGAGTAGAGGCTTCAGGCCGAGTAGAGGCATCAGGCCGAGTAGAGGCTTCAGGCCGAGTAGAGGCATCAGGCCGAGTAGAGGCTTCAGGCTGAACCACGGAAGGCAGGCTCACCGTTTTTGGATACTGGCAGGATGGTATTGGTTGGAAAGAATTTTCGCTTTTTTTCTGGTTTTAAACTACTGGAGCACTGCAAGTAAACGCAGGTCTGCAAACGAATGGAGCAGCTGGAGACAGAGAAGAACTGGAGGATGGAACAGGAGAGGGAGCGGTTGCTACAGAGGGCTCTTTTACAGGGTTAAAGGCAGGATAGGTGCAGCGAGTGGGAACAGGGTACTGACATGCGGTAGATAGCAGGGCAGGAGGTGCTGTTGGGAATGCAGGAATAGAGTTTTGAGGAAATAGATTAGAAGCAGGACTGGGTCTTTGTAAGCTGACTGAGGCTGGGTGCAACAAATCTGTCCATGTCTGCAGTATGGGTTGAACAAAGCTGAGCTTACACAAAGCCTGTCTGGTCAATGACTGTACTGCGTTTATACAATCTCTTAGTGTCTGTGGTGAACATGTGGAATAACGCTCCAGAAAGTAACCCACATCATCCTCTAATAACCACACCAGGGACTCTACCTGGTCTGCACTAAATGGTGGCAAAAATTCATCCCTGCATTCGGGGAACCAGATGAAACCAACTCAGCACAAACCTCAATCAATGGCTGCACCTCAGAGAACTCTGTGCCCTGATCTACTAGAACATGAGCGAGCCGTATACATTCTAGCAGTTCATCCCGGGTATACTCCTTCAGAGTCTGATAAGCATACTCCCCTGTCATCAAACACTAGCAGATATAAATATTCAACCTCATCCAGATCCATCCTTCCCATCAACAAGCCAAGATGGCTTCCCTGTGCAGCCACTTCTGGTCAGGATTGGCCTTGGTGTAATGTCAGGGCTCCAGGTATGACCAGAGGTGTGTGACTGATGCAGGGAAACGCAGACTTCAGATAACCAATAAACAAACAATTTATTAACACTAACAATACAAACATCAGGTTCAGCAGGTAGCAAGCAGCGTAGTACAGAGGGTCAAGCAGAGGGATGGTCAGGGTCACAAGCCAGGGATCAGGACAGTAGCAGAGAATCAGACAGAACAGAGAGCAGGAACAGAGAGCAGGAACAGGATACAGGGCCCAAGAGAAACACAACACCAAGGCAGAGTCTGTGGGTCTGGCCATCCCTTAAATACCCCAGCATCATCAGTTCCAGGTGTTAGCTGGCTGAAAGGTTGAGTCTCTGATTGCTGGGAGCACCCGCTGGCCAGCCCTGGTACTTGCAGATCAAAAGGCAGGTGAGTCCCCACCATTGCTGGCCAGTCCATTCCTAACAGAGGCGCTTCTCTCCTTTTTCAGAGGGCGGGAGAGCATGGACCAAATCCGCGGAAGGAACCCAGGAACGCTCCTCGGACCATAAACCGCGCCAATGAAACCAGGCACTGTAATCGGCCGCGCAACCAATCCCGAGGAGTCCAGGATCCGGCTTCACCTCATACTCCTCTTGACCGTCAACCCGAATGGGACGGGGGGGCCCCGAGGCAGAGAGGTATTAGTAAAGCGATTGTAGATCAGAGGTTTCAACAGTGATACATGAAAGATATTGGAGATTCCGCATCCACCCAGGCAGAAGGTCAAGGGCATAGGCCACCGGATTCACCTTGCGGAGAATGCGCGAAAAGGAAACCGCACCAAAACAGGGGAGCTAGTTTGGGTGTGGGCACCCGATGAAAGATAGAGGTTACGATCTTAGGACAACCACACCCGATCGCCCGACCTGGGTCATTAATGGAAGCAGGCACAACGTCTGCGATCAGCCTGGAACTTCTGACGCTTGAGGGGCCGTTTGTAGTCCCTCAATGCCCTCTGGCATCTGACCCCATGAAGAACTCAGAGGGCAGCAAAGATGGTTTCTTCACAGCCCGGAATGTTCATGGGTTGAGAACCACTCTTAGGTAATACCGCGGGGTTGTGTACCCATAGATGTGTCCTATGAATGGAGACATCCTTGAGGAGGATGTGACCACCCGAAGTTCCTCTGGCAAACTCTGCCCACAGGCAGGAGAGATCAGGCCCCAATCGTACCCTGATGGTCCGAGATATAAACATCGAAAGAATTGTTCTAAAGGCCGGATTGGAAACGCACTCAAAGCCCCATTGGACTGCGGGTTGTAGGCTGAAGAAAAAGGAGAGACTAATACCCAACTTGGATGCAAAATCTCATCAGAATCTTGACACGAGCTGACACCCCCCGCCCACCGCGGTCCGAGCCAATCGACCTTGGGAACCCATCAGTGCGAAAAATCTCCCTGGAAAAGACCGTGGCCAGTTTCTTGCGCTGTTGGTAATTTTCCTTTCAGAGTGGATACAATTCACAAAATTTTTGGAAAAAAAGATCGACGACCATGAGAAAAGACCGTATGACCCCGAGACACGGGAAAGGGCACAATAAAGTCCATTCCCAGGTGTGTCCAAGGAAAAGCTCCCCATTGGGAATGGGTTTTTCAGAAAGACGCATTGGAAAATGCCGTGGAATTTTTTCTGGGCAACAGTTCCGAACAAGCCGCCCCAACCCTTTTGAGGCGATGTTTGGGGAAAGGAGAGTTTTGGGCCCCCAAAACAACCGAGGGGGACGACCCAAAAACAACTGGTTCCTCCCCGGATTTCCCGGCAGTTTTTGGAAAATTTTGGTATGGTACGCAGCAGACGGGTGGGGCAACCCCCTCGGGTACAAAACATTACCCTCCGGCTCTCGGGGAGCGCCCGTTTTTAACCCACCCAAAAACTGCTCCCCAAGGGAGAATCAGAAATGGTGCGAATTTGGGAGGGCCGGATCTGATCCGGGGGTAAAAACCGATTGGGCCCCAGAGTCCTCCCTGGAAAAACTCAGAGTATTGCCCGGGGGGATAACCCCACAAGGGCCCCGACATTCCCTTTTAACCAGGCCCAAAAAGGAACCAAAATAGTTGAACCGTGACAAAAAACAAGGCCCATCTTCCTGACGGGGGGGGGCATCTCTTGGGCCCCCGAAAAGATAAGTCAGGGTTTTTATGAAAGGGAAAATAAGGACCCGGAAAACCCCGGAGCCCTCGAGAAGGGGCCTCCCCTTCCTTTTAACCAGAATGATTTTCCCAAAAACTCCCCATCTCCAATCTGGGAGTTTTCACTAAGCAGGGAAAGCTTTCCCGGGGAGAACCCACAGGAAGTAGGGTCCAACA